CAGGCAGTTTGGCCATTGAATTACGTGAGCTAGCATTTTGACACCAGTTCGACCATCCCTAGCAAGGATAGTTCTGTATTTATTCCATCATATGGTGGGAGTTGGATTTTTTTCTTAAAGAAATAGCCTTACAGATAGATTATTTAGCCGTGGCAGATAAGGGTATCAGAATTTTGATGCTGCTTATACCGTAAGCTTTCTCTTGTTCATAATAATGACATTATGATTTGTCATTCATGCTGTATATCTTTTCAGATCATTTTCCTAGATGAATATGTGATAGTGTAGAAGAGTAGGAAATGTGTAACAATAATCCATTTTGCTCGTCGTGGCCTATATGGGTCTTTTGACAGTTAGGAAAGCAGATTCTTTTATGATCACCAAATTTAAACTCCTCTTATCCATCTTTAATTAATTTTTATATGGTCTGATGACTTGAGGGGACTGCCCCAAGTTTTTTTTTTTATTATTATTCAATTATTTCTTTTCAAATAATCTCCTTTCTTCTCTCTGTCTCTCTCAACATATACTCTTATTTGCTCACTTACACTCATAAACAGAAAATAGAAATCTTGATAAAATTATAAATTTCTTTTCATTGTAATTTTTTGCAGCTGCATTTTCGGGTGTTAGAGTATTCAACATTTTGAACTTTTGCCATTTACATTTGCAGCTTCGTACATATTAGGGCAAAGCGACAAAGGGAAGATTTTGGGCTGAGATTGTTGCTCTATGTTTTAATTTTTTAGAAACAAAAAACAAAGAAATATATAAATTGCCTTACTTCATCATGCAAAACACCTGACCAGAGAATAGGAGAGGGAGGTGATCAGGTGTTGACGAAACTTATAACAAAATTCACATCAGCCCAAATGTATTTTTAAAATGTAGAAACTTATGCTGCTGTGTTTTTACTCCCATCAAGTCAATTGGAATTTGCTTGTTTTTCCTGTCACTCTTTTTCTTTTCTTTCTTACTTTCTTTTTTTTCTAAACAAAAGAAGAGTTGCGTTGCATCATATTTTATTACAATTTCTTTTCTTTTCATAACCAAAGATTATTTGCACACTGTGGCCTCCACTGACATATTTCAAGCAGTTACATTTCTTACAAACAATAAATGAGCAGTATCATTATGCAATGTGATGTGTGCAGTGAAAAAGTAAAAGTAAATATGTGAGTTTATCACATTTTCTTTCTATTATCTCCCTTGCTGAATATTAACAGCACAGTAATATGTCATTTCATTGATATGGAGAGAGAATATTCTTGCAAAAATGTTCTTTCTCCATACCTATGAAATGGCAAGTATATAATAAATATAAAGGTGTTCTACCAATGAAAATACCAATTACCTCTTAGAACACCATTACATTTATTATATACTTGGACATGGACACTGATGGCTTTATGGTTAAAGATAAACCTGAATTATGAAATTTTATTTTAGATGCTTCAGGGTCAAATTCAGAATGTATTTGTGGGAAAAAAGGCCTAATATTTGAGGTTATCTCTTTAAGTCATCTATAACTTCCATTCAGTCTAAAATGTATATTGCAATTGTCATTTAAGATGAAATAGCCAAAGTTTATTTTGTCATGATCAAGAATTTAACTTTATGAATGTGTACATAATATTCAATGAAGATGAACATTGCAGATTTGTGTGTTTCGATTCTTCAATTGCACATTTTATTTTTATGATAGTTGATGAAATATAATGTTAGACTATTTATTGGTAGTCCCATAGACAGAAAAAATAAAATACATTATACCCATAATTATACAGAAAATATCCTGCAGAATTGCTCCTAGATACTTTATTATATTTTCTTATATATTGTGAACTGTACAGTGATTGTTATACTAAAGTTTATAATTATATCTATTAATGCTCTTGTGCATTTCATGCATTTTTTTGCAATACAGTGGAAAGGACAAGATGCCCATCATGCAAATATTCATGACACAGCAATAAATAAGTATTTTCTCTTGTTTATTGGAAATTATAACAGGAATCAAACAAACTATCACTTTTAGTTTTTCCAACACAAAAAATTGGTTGAAGACACTGAGCACATTTACCTTGTGCATAGACCTAATGGCCATGGCTGCTGATAAATCCAAAGCCCCGATTAAACAAAACCCCAAACTGGAAAGAGAGAGAAAAAGAAGAAAAGTATATACAGTATATGTATGCAAGAATATATCTTTCTTTTTTCTTTTACTTTCTCTCTTATTTTCTGTGTTCATCAACCCATTTTTGAAAGCTCAAGGTTTTTTAAATTCACTATATTTTTTCCCATGCCTGACCATGCCCAGAACAAAAATGTAAAACGACAAATACCTCCACCCATGATCTCTGAAACACTTAAATGCATGATGCACAAAAGGGTTAATAGCAACAGATTATATATATATATATATATATATATATATATATATATATATATATATATATATATATTATATATATATATATATTATTATTATATATATTTATTTATTTATTTATTTATTTATTTATTTGTTTATTCATTAATATTATAATGGTAATTGTCATTACATACCATCTCAAAGAAGTCAGATCATGCTCTGTGTCAAGACAAAATGGCATGTGTGGTAATACAAAAACAAACTGTTAAATATTTATTAATTTTAAGTTTATTTTTAATACTCTAAAGGTGTTTCGTTACTGTTGATAAATTGTAAAAGATTTTTTTACTATTATCACAAAGCAATAGATTTCAGAGAATATATAATGTATGTTGTAGGTGTATCTACATGTACAATATTTCACAATAAGACTCTCATGAAAATAATAACAGATATACATATAAACTTATACATGACTAAGCATGTATAGCTTTAAAACCATGTGTAAAAAGTTAATTGATAAAATCAGTGTTTATATCCCAGATGGTGGTTTTCTGATTTGTGTATTTTTATATCCATCAAATCCATTTTTAACATTTCATACATGATACATTGTTTAATTCTCATTGTATATTTATCTTCTATTTATATTTATGAATGGATTACCCAATGCTACCAGGTATGGTATGTATGCACATGCCATGCCCATACACAGAGATAGCTCAACAAGTGCTTCGTCATCTATGAGTCAGTCATTAGTCACAGTCACAGTCACGTATCCAACCTTTTTACCCTTTACAAAGATTTTTGGAAATATTTTATTTAATCATATATTGATTTTAGTATTTTTGTGAACACTGTAATAATTATAATGTCATTGATGATAATAATAACAGCATCAGTATTTATAGCATTAGGGGAAAAATATGTATCCCCCCAAGAAATAGGAAGGGGGAAAATCAGATGAGGTTACATATACTGGTTGTCTCCTTGGTGGCGGAGGACTTGTAGAGCCATCTGTGCATAGATACATTTCACAAAATAATAGTACAGTGAACACATTTTTCTGGCAGCATTGGGTTAATAAGCTCCACAAGACTGTATTTCCTTTAATTTATTGCCTTTTTAAATAAACATTGATTCTGGTAGTAGTGCTTTCATGCATATAAACCAAGTCATGGTTTTCTTTTTAATTATATAATTTTTCCTTTTTCCCTTTAAAACTTAGCTCAAATCTGCCTTTTTCTATTATACTGTAGTCTGAAATTTTTCAAATATTTTGTGTATATATACTCAGGACACAAAGAAAACAGAAATGAAGAATCTAAGTAATACATAAAAAAATGGATGTGATTAGGATTGAAATTTCTATGACTGTTATATATGCAATTATGTATTGAAACATTTTTATTGTTAGTGCATGTGCGCGTGCATGTATATGCACACGTGAGTATGTGTGTTTGTATGTAAGTATGTGTGTTTGTATGTAAGTATATGTGTTTGTATGTATACATGTCTGTATTTATATGTATACATGTCTGTGTGTATATGTATAAATGTGTGTGTGTGTGTGTGTATGTATAAATACGTGTTTGTGGGTGTTGGTGCGCGTGTGTGGGTGGTGTGGGTGCGCGTGTGTGGGTGTAGGTGCGCTTGGTGTGTGTGGGTGCATGTGTGTGTGTGTTTGTGTTTGTGTTTACGTTTGCGTGTGGGTGTGGGTGTAAGTGCATACATGAGTGTGCTTGTTTGTAGGTACGTATGTGTGTGTGCTTGTGTATAGGTGCATACATGTGTGTGTGCATAGTGGTACATGTGTGTGTGCTTGTGTATAGGTGCATACATGTGTGTGTGTGTGTGGTGTGTGTGTGTGTGTGTGTGTGTGTGTGTGTGTGTGTGTGTGTGTGTGTGTGTGTGTGTGTGTGTGTGTGTGTGTGTGTGTGTTAGTTGTATATGCATGTGTGTGTGTTTGTGTGTGTGTGTGTGTGTGTGTGTGTGTGTGTGTGTGTGAATGTGTATGTGTATGTGTATATGTAGGTGTGTGTGTGTGTATGTATGTGTAGGTGTGTGTTTTTATGTAGGTAGTGTGTGTGTGTGTGTATGTATGTGTAGGTGTGTGTTTTTATGTAGGTAGTGTGTGTGTGTGTGTGTGTGTGTGTGTGTGTGTGTGTGTGTGTGTGTGTGTGTGTGTGTGTGTGTGTGTGTAGGTGTATATGTTTGTAGGTGTGTAAATGCATGTTTTAGGTGTGGTATGTGTGTGTGTGTTTGAAGGTGTGTAAATGTGTGTGTATGCAGGTGTGTACTTGTGTGTGTGTGTGTGTGTGTGTGTGTGTGTGTGTGTGTGTGTGTGTGTGTGTGTGTGTGTGCGTGCATGTGTCTGTGTAGGTGTATATGTGTTTGTAAGTGTGTAGGCATGTGTGTGTGTAAGTGTATCTGTAAGTGTGTAGTGTGTATATGTAAGTATAGTGTGTGTGTGTGTGTTTTGAAGGTGTGTAAATGTGTGTGTATGCAGGTGTGTACTTGTGGGTGTGTGCATGCATGTGTAGGTGTAGGTGTATATGTAGGTGTGTAGGCATGTGTGTGTGTGTAGGTGTATCTGTAAGTGTGTAGTGTGTATATGTGTAAGTGTAGTGTGTGTGTGTGTGTGTGTGTGTGTGTGTGTGGTGTGTGTGTAGTAGGGGTAGGTGTGTATTGCATGTAAGTAAGTGTGTGTGTGTGTAGGTGTAGGTGTGTGTGTGTGTATATGTAGTGTATAGGTGTGTAGCATGTGTGTGTGGTGTGAATGTGTATGTGTATATGTAAGTGTGTCTGTGTGTATGTATGTGTAGGTGTATGATGTTTGTAGGTGTGTAAATGCATGTTTTTAGGTGTGTATATGTGTGTGTGTGTTTGAAAGGTGTGTAAATGTGTGTGTATGCAGGTGTGTACTTGTGTGTGTGTGTGTGTGTGCATGCATGTGTCTGTGTAGGTGTATATGTGTTTGTAGGTGTGTAGGCATGTGTGTGTAGGTGTATCTGTAAGTGTGTAGTGTGTATATGTAAGTGTAGTGTGTGTGTGTGTGTGTTTGTGTTAAATGTGGTGTGTATGTAGGTGTGTGTTGTATGTGTGTGGGTGTGTGTGTGTCTGTGGTGTGTGTATATGTGTTTGTGGTGTGTAGGCATGTGTGTGTGTAGGTGTATGCTGTAATGTGTAGTGTGTATATGTGTGTAGTGTGTGTGTGTGTGTTGTGTGTGTGTGGTGTGTGTATGTGTGTGTTGTGTGTGTGTGTGTGTGTGTGTGTGTGTGTGTGTGTGTGTGTGTGTGTGTGTGTGTGTGTGTGTGTGGTGTGTGTGTGTGTGGTGTGTGTGTGTGTGTGTGTGTGATGTGTGTGTGGTATTGTGTGTATGCATACGTGTGTGTGTGTGTGTGCATACTTGTGTGTTTGTGTGTGAGTGTAGGTACATATGTGTGTGTAAATCCATACGTGTGTGTATGTGTGTAGGTGTATGTATGCATAGTGTATAGGTATATTTTGCATATGTGTAGGTGTGGGTGTATGTGTGTGTTTGAGTATGTGTGTTCTGAGAGAGAGAGAGAGAGTGTGTGTGTGTGTAATGTTGTGTGTGTGTGTGGGTGATATGTGTGTCTGAGAGAGAGAGAGAGGGTGTGTGTGTGTTGTTGTGTGTGTGTTGTGTGTGTGTGTGTGTGTGTTGTGTGTGTGTGTGTGTGTGTGTGTGTGTGTGTGTGTGAAGATGCGTACATGTGTGTGTTTGTGCGTGTGTGTGTGTGTTTGTAGGTGTGTGTATGTCTGTGTGTGTTATGTGTGTAGATGCATACGTGGTGTGTGTGTGTGTGTGTGTGTGTGTGTGCGTGTGTGTGTCATACTTGTGTGTTTTGTGTGTGAGTGTAGGTACATAATGTGTGTGTGTAAGTCCATATGTGTGTGTATGCGTGTAGGTTGTATGTATGCATTGTATAGGTGTATTTAATGCATATGTGTAGGTGTGGGTGTATGTGTTGGAGTATTGTGTGGGAGAGAAGGAGAAAGGAGGGAGAGGGGAGTGGTGTGTGGGGGTTGTGTGTGTGTGTGGTGTGTGTGTGGTGTGTGAAGATGCGTACATGTGTGTGTTTGTGCGTGTGTGTGTGTGTTTGTAGGTGTGTGTATGTCGTCTGTGTGTGATGTGTGTAGATGCATAGTGTGTGTGTGTGTGTGTGTGTGTGTGTGTTGTGTGTGTGTGTGTGTTGGGTGCGTGTGGTGTGTATACTTGTGTGTTGTGTGTGAGTGTAGGTACATATGTGTTTTGTAAGTCCATTGTGTGTGTATGCGGTTAGGTGTGTGTGGAGTGGTATAGTTGTATTTATGCATATGCAGGTGGGGTTGTAGTTGTTTTCAGTATGTGTGTGTTGAGAGAGAGGGAGGAGAGAGAGGTGTTATTGTGTGTGTGTGTGTGTGTGGTTGTGTGGTTGTGTAGTGTGTGTGTTGTAGTGTGTGTGTGTGTGTGTGTTGTGTGGTGGTGTGGTGGTGTTTGGTGTGTGTGTGGTGTGTGTGGTGTGGTGTGGTGTGTGGTGTGGGTGGTGGTGGTGGTGGTGGTGGGGTGGTGGGTGGGTGTGGGTGTTGTGTGTGTGTTTGTTATAGAGTGTATTGTGTGTGTATTGTGGGTGCATTTGTGTGTGGGTGGTGTGTAGGTGTGGTGTGATATGGTGTGGGTGGTGTGGGTTGCTACATGTGTGTGTGTGTGTGGGTGATACATGGTTGTGTGTGGTGTGTTGTATGTGTGGTGTGTGTACTTTTGTGTGTGTGGTGTGTGTGTGTGTGTGTGTGTGTGTGTGTTGTGTGTGTGTGTCATGTGTTGTGTGTGTGGTGTGTGGGTGTGTGTGTGTGTGTGGTGCATGTTGTGTGTGGTGTGGGTGCATACGTGTGTGAATGTGTGTGGTGAAGTTGTGCATGTGTGAATACCAAATGTTGGCCTTACAAGAGTTTGGTAGAATGGCGAGCTTAAGGGTTTTCAGGTAGACAACCAAGATATCTTGACTTCTTAATAATATTGCTGGAGTGCGGCTACTCCTCGGAGTGAGGTGTTGCTCCTTGCCTCCCCACAGGAGTCTGCCTGATCTCCTATACAGTGGTCTAAAGATCACACTGTCATGTGTTACCATGTGACGACTGGTGATGAACAAGCAAGCATTACATCAATACATAGCTCTTGTGGAAGAGATAGACAACACAAACATTGGAATGTCTAGTGTGGCAAGAGGGAGAGGAATCAGGGGAAGCAATGGTCTGGGGCGTATATGCATATGTGTTGTATATAGGAAGACATATGTTATGATAAACATTAAGATTATATATATATCATAATAGTAATTAGATATAGATATGCTGGGTTAACATTCGTGGTGTGTGTGTGTGTGTGTGTGTGGGTGCATACATGTGTGTTGTGCGTACTCGTAGTACAACGTGTATGTGTGTGTGTGTGAGTGCATAAATTTTTGTGTGTGTGTTGTTGTGTGTGTAGGTGCATAATTTTGTGTGTGTGTGTGTGTGTGTTGTGTGTGTGTGTGGTGTGTGTGTGTGTGTGTGTGTGTGTGTGTGTGTGTGTGTGTGTGTGTGTGTGTGTGTGTGTGTGTGTGGTGTGTTGCATAATTTTGTGTGAGTTTGTGTGTGCGTGTGTACATGTCTTTATCTCTGTAGCATTAGAACTCTGAAATGAATATTTGACACTGCAAACCTTGCTAGCGTGGTGGGGTTTGGTGGGAATTTATTTCCAATATTCAGCTGGCTGTTTGGCATTTTATAAACAGCTACTAGTTATTTTCTGGAGTTAATATTTTTCTAGGTCTTGGAGTTATTAATTTGCATTTATATGGTCAGTTTATTTTGGGAATACTTCAGTTCAGCTATTTTCTGTGCTTGATTCCAGTGTTAAACATATAGTATTCACATTTGTTAAATTAATGTTTACATGATTCCAGTCATGTATTGTAACTGTCAACAGTCAATTTTTCATATGTTATTTCATTATACTTAAATGTAGTTTTACCAGGTACCATTACCAGTCATATATCATGCACCTTTATCTGTGTACCTTGATTATAAATATTATGCCACTTTAATTTTTCTTCTTGCTCTCTTCTAAAAAATTAGCACTTGAATCTGCATCATATTATAGAAAGCAAGACTGGGACTACTATTCCTATGAAAAAAAAAAAAAACTTTTTCATCTTTTTTTTACTTACTTTTTTTACTTACAAGACTGGGACTTAATGTGATGGTATTATTAGAGGCTTACTACAGAGATAATGATGACTAGGACAGATGGGCATGAATAACAAACAATGTGCGTGACTTGAAACTTAAAAGAAGACTCCCCGGAAGGCACTTTCTACAAGGGATAGGGGACCAATACCTCCAGGTCCGCCGAAAACTTCTATGAACATCTGAAAAGAGTTGTTTTATTTATAACGTTATCACTATTATGCAGCAATATTGCAAAGAAATTCACATGCAGTGTGGATAGTAGTGTGGGTATTAATCATTTCAACAAACACAAATGCAAACTTACATCCTCCCCAAGCAAATTCACAAAGATATAGCGAGAGATAATGGTAGCAGGAATCACAAAGACCCATGACATGAAAGGCGAAATCAGCCATATGACAATGAGCAGCATATACATAACCACCTCCAATACCCGAGAATCACCTGGAATTGTAAAAACACACTTAATACCTAATAAGAAAAGCAGAAGTTGCACTAGACAGATGCAAAATTTTATAACACAATAGAAGATATAGAGCTTGCTATCACCCAGCCAGATATGAGTGAAGAGCGGATACCAGATGCATTTTACTGTTATTTGAAAAAGCAATAAAAAGAAACTTGAATCAAAGAGATAAAGCGGGATGATTTGTCTTTATTTTTCTCCCTTTTCGACAACATATATTTCCCCCCTAATAAATCAGTATAATAATCAACTATTTGAAACCATTACACAGCTTTTCACAAGTATATCAATACATCATTTACAAAAAACTCCCTGTCCCTTGTGTCTTTCTCAAGACCCACACAAACTTACCTTTCTCAGTCCCTGTATTACCAGAGGAAATGTTGACATTTGTGGTATTTGTGGCTGTTGTATTCCTGCCATCAGTACCCGAGACCTGAGCGCTGGCATGACCCGGCCCGCATGTGATCAGGACTACAGCCCAAACCAGTCCTACTGCATACATCTGTCTGGAACAATCCAGATTAACTTTGCTCCAAATAATTACTTTTTTTATGATGAGAAACAATTAAAAAGATGAAAGCAATTAATTTTGTCAATATAACTTATTTTTAGACTTTTTATTACTGATTACCAGAGCTGATAACAGTACTGATGATGACTGACTGATGGGATGATTCATACATCGATGGGATGCTTGCCTTGTTGATGATGATTGATGATGATGATGATTGATGTTGGTGATGATGATGATGATGACGACGGTGTTGGTGTTGGTGTTGATGATGATGATGATGATGATTAATAATGATGATGATGATTGTTGATGATTGATGATGATGATGATGATGATGATAATGGAGGTCATCTTGGCAGTGAAGGTTTGGGGGGCAGAGGGAGAGTGATAGTCTGGAGAAATGTCAGT